GATACCTGTGGTGGGCAGAGCACAGATAGCCCATTGTGTAGCTTTGTGCTTAATTCCAAACAAACAAATAAAATCCTATCCACTTTGGTGTCTAATTCCCTCGTATAGTTTATAACAGAGACACTTCCTTACTAGCTGCTTTGGTGTCTACTTCCTTTTCATAGTTTACAAAACAGACACTTCCTTCCTAGCTACTCCGGTGTGTAATTCCCTCTTATAGTTTAAAAAAAAAGAAATTTTCTTCATAGCTGCTCTGGTGTCTAGTTGCTTCTCATAGTTTATAAAAGAGACATTGGAAGTTTAGTTTTACTTAACAAAGTAAAATGGGCGCGTAAGGATGATTGTGAGAAATTAAGATGTAAAGTTCTTTCACTATGAAGATGGAATGGATACTATCCAATTTTTTGAGATGGGAATTGCTTTTACCTCTTCAGCTTTCAATCTTTTTTGTTCCAGTAACACCAGTATGGTTAACAAAGTCACAGATGTAAACCTTGCTTAAAGCCTTTAAATTACACGTATCTAAACCTTTAAAGTGTGCAACAGGAAATACACGTTTTTTTTTTATTATTTTCCAACCAGGTTTAATCAAATTTCATGTCTTAATTGTAAACTTCATGATTTAGTTTAAATTCGTTAGTCTTATTTTATTTATTTAATTTATTTCAATCTATGTTCTAATCAGAATCATGTCAAGCTAAAATTATTATGTTTATCTAAACTTCTCAGAGTATTTACCTGCAGTTTTTTGGTTGTTTGTTTCATCCAAGTACTCAACATTATAGAATGTGTTTAATATTGTAACGTTCTATAACATGTCAGTTATTCTATGAAATGTGGTTTACTTTTGCTGTGAAGATATCTTAATTCTCCCACTCCCCCTAATTAGCTCTAGATTTAGGAACATTATCAGAAAACGGTTTTAACGATCCTTATGTCAAAGTTGCTTTGATACCGGAAGTCGACACAAAAACAAGGCAAACTGAAATCCAGCGCAACTCTTCAGACCCAGTGTTCGACGAAATGTTCAAGTTTCCAGTGTCGTACGACGACATCCCAGGGAAGGTCCTCTTGTTGCAAGTTTTCGACTACGACAGATTCTCGAGAAACGACGTCACGGGCGAGGTTCGGTTACAGATGTGTGATGTTGACATTACTTCGGAGGTAGAAGTTTGGAGCGAAATTTCTAAGACTGATAGGGTATGGAAAAAAATCTTAATTTCTGAAAACATGAGTGTTATAATTCTTGCTTATATGAATACAAATATTTTAAAAACGGAAATGTTTAAGAACATGATATGAATTTTTCATGATTTTTTAACTTTCACTTTAGAATCGTCTCAGGAAAACATGAATTGTTAGTTATTTTTCTTTGTGTTATTACATTGTTAGTGTTTATGGAATGTGGCGATTTTTCAAGTGATAAAACACAACCTCCTGTATTCATAAAATAACGTATTTGATAACAGGAATAAAATGTTAAACTTTTTCAGTAGGAAAGGCCTTAAGTAATTTGAAACCTGAATTAGCAATTATAAGCTCTGAATCTTACTACAGAGTCGTCGAGGGACGTTTTAAGTAGTCATAAATAGCTTAAAAGAAAAACGTCAATTTAAAATATATGGTTGACTATTCGATCTCACATATTAACGTCTGTTTGAAAATTGGGTTAGAATATAGATGTTAAAAAATCATTAAACAATATGAAATGTTTACTCTTACGCTTCATTCTTGTAGAAAAATGTAATAACATCAGTGTAATAATTATCCTTACACTTACCATCCCGAACAACCAGATGTAACAATTGAATGAAGTACGTTATGCCATCCCGAACAATCAGATGTAACAATTTAATGGAGTACGTTACGCCGTCTTTAATGATTCCTTATACATCACACTAATTTTAGGAAGTTTGGAAAGTCTTATCATTTCAAATATTTAGATCTTAATGCTTTGACGAAACTTGAGGTTTTTGTTCTCCAGAATTCACGAAACCACAGAGTTTCCAAAAGATGGCGCTAGATACAATGTCACCTCATCTTACGAAAGTTTATTTATTTTTTGTTGTGAAATCTATGTTAAATCTACAGAGCACAATGAACCAGTTTTTTTTTTTATAAAATACTCCATAATTTCCTATTAATCAAGTTAAGCATACTTATGTTTATATTACGCATTTTAGATGTTGTTCAAAAGCCACTTATCATAATTTATAAAGTGATAAATTATATATATATATATACATAATATATATATTATGCACCGTTGACGTCACGTACATAACGGAAGAAATGTTTTGTTTTTTTTAAGACGATACTTGTAAAACATATTAGGTTTTGAGACTGTGTACACCTTAAAAGTCCGTGCACGTTTTGCATACGTATTTTCTATTTACATGTTCATTAGAGCAAGTAGACTAAGATTTTCTACACCCATAACATGCATTTTTATCATGTTTCTTTATTCTTTTAAAGGTGTCACTAGACAGACCAGAAATCCTCATATCTCTCAGTTACTTGCCCTCTGCTGGTCGATTGACTGTGGTTGTCCTGAAGGCTTCAAACTTAACGGCTCCAAATTCAAAAGAACTACCTGGTAAAAATCACGATGTATATTATTTGATACATTTATCTCCAGAGACAGCTTTCTCTGTCCATTTCAAATCACATTCTTATTACTTCGCCGTAGAAAAACACGCTCTTGTGGGTGACGACCCTACTTTGTCTTTTTTTTTTTGAACAGGTGGCCAAGATATTCTGGATTTTTTAAGCATGGAATTTGAATTATTTAATAGTACAATATGTTCTGGCAATTTTATTTATTATAATGACGTGTTTTGTTTTCAAATCTACTTGTCTGTCATACATAATTTTAATTATTTGTTTTTGAAAATATGTATTTCGGTAAAAAGCAATTACTTGCTATTTTATTGTTCTGTAAATAAAATAGTGAGAATTTCAACCTAAATTAATATTAGAAAATATAACTGAGCATAATGTACCTAAACGTTTATCTTTATTATAGTCAGTTGGTATTAATTGACTATAATTTACTTTGACGAGACAGGACTTGTTTAAGGCTGTTTTTTCCCCTCTCTCTTTTGAACTTAGACACATACGTAAAAGTGACCCTCGTCTTTAAAGACAGGAAGACGAAGAAGAAGAAGACGGCGACGAAAAGAAAATCTAATAACCCTGTGTGGAACGAAGCTTTGAGTTTTGACATGCCAGAAGATGGCTTGAAACACTGTCGTCTGTCTGTCAACGTTATGAACTGTCACCATAGCAACATGCCTCTCATTGGATCTTGTGTTATTGGAATGGATGAGCATGGCAGGGGTGCAACGCACTGGCAAGACATGTTTCATAATCCACGTAAGACTATAGCGATGTGGCATGGACTGCACATATGATAACTAGACCCGTGAAAACAGATTATCTATACATAATTCACTGTGAATTCGAAAAAGATTTAAGTTCATGGCAAAAAAGAATTTATGTGTATATTCTGTAGAAAGTATGTTTAGAACCACGTATTAAATATTGTATATACTACTAAGCAAATTGTATAACTCACCAGTCGACTGTATCTAGCTACGACTACTTTAGCACCCTCTACCGTTTGGAAATAGAAATGTTTAAATATTACTTTATTTGCAGTGTAACCTATTATAGCTGTATTCCTCTTATTTTGCTTTCGATATTATATTAGTCACTGTAGGGAGTAAGTCGGTATTACCGAATCCTTTATTATATTAGCCCTGTATAGTTACATATAGAATAAAAAAAAATCTGTTGTGCAATGAAGCCTTATTTTAAGAACAAAACATATTAAATCAACCTGACATTAATACTAGTTTTACTTGAACGTACTAACCATTGCCACTGCTACACTCAGAGAGTTTTGTATTCTTCAAATTTTATTCTTGATATTGAGCATCTTTTAATCACCCAATTCTCTTCCGCTCTCTATGGTCCAGTAGCTTTTTGAATTTCCTCTGAGCATTCGCTCAAACAGGGTTATTTTTCATGTTTTAAACCTTAACGTATCACGTTCCACACAAATATTTGTTCTCCACATCGCTATTAGTATTTCTTTTTTTTGTTTTCGTTTGAAACAATAAAAATGGTATTGCACGTTCACTTACAAGTATAGACCATCGGTTTAGGTGCTACTGTGGTCCATTCTGTCCCAAGTTTCATTCTCCACAAGATCCTATAAATTAAGATATAGTTTCGTATTAATTATTCTCGATATATGCTCCATTATGAAATTCTTAATCATTATTATGTTTCTTCATTTTCCCCAGGGATCGTTAATAATAAATATGTGTCAAAAGTAATACAATGTTTATTTATGTTTTTCAGTATATATCGGTGTTTAATATTTATATATGAAGACTTGTTTGTATCACTCTTGAATTATACTTATTATATTATATTGCATTCTTGAATTTTATTTGGCGTTTTTTTATGTATGAAAGATACATTCCATTTTTGAATATATTTTTCATACTGAATTCTATTCTTGGATTATATTCAGTACATTTTCACATATAAAATACACCATAAGATTTGTATGCTTTAGGACTATATGATATAGAAATCCTTCATCCAAAATTAATGCTTATTTAAACCAATTAGTGGTGTATTTTGTGTTTAATTCAAGCTCAGAGTTTTAATAACTTTGATTTTAAATCAGTATTTTACAATGCTAAAATTCATATGGTATTTAAATTAACAATTGTTAAATATATGAATAGGATACGTATTATATGTGGTTGCTCATAGATTACAGTTTATTAAAAGTAAAATATCATCTTTGAATAAATTACTCGTCTTTTTCTCATTTATGCGACGAGCTGGATTTGCTATGAGTGCATAACAGATGGATATATATATGTGTGTGTGTGTGTGTTTGTGTGTGTGTGTGTGTGCGTATAACATTCGTAAATCATACTTTTGACTGTTTAACAATACTTAAGTGTGTAATAAATAGTAGTAAGTTTAATTTGGTTGTATTAATGAGTTAGCTAGCAGATAGTTAGGGTTTAAATTTTGGTTTTAGAAAACCTGACTCAACCTATTCTTTACGTTAAAACGAACGATACTACTCCTTTAAAATTGTGATATGAATTTTTGTTATTTCTTGACTGTTTTGGAAATTAAAAATAATTAATCATTGCTTAATATTGTTTATTATTAATTCATCCTATTATTGTTCATTGTAATAAACTTACTGTACGCGCGCTTGGAAGGTACATTTCGTCCATTATATCTATATAATAATACGCTTGTTCGTGTGTTTGTTACGGAAATGGCGTATGCGCGCATGTGTATTTAGATAGTAAGGTACGCGCGCAGAATAATTACAGACAAAACTGAGTATTATTATAATAGACTACCAGAGATTTGCAAGAAATTTGCGCTCAGATTAGTGTCTTTATTGCAACAGCACTTCTTGAAATACAGGATTTCTAGAATAATACAAAGGATTTTTCTAATCGCAGACATCGAAATCTTGTGATACTATAATTCTGCTGTCAGCACGCCTTATAAGCATGCGCAGTAAGAATTTTACCCATAAAAACAGTGCAAGCGCCTGCCTGCACCAGAGAGTTGGAAAGCTCAATCAACAAGTCACTACAACTGCTCTATGAATGACGGAATAACAAAAAAGGTGGGTGTAAATGTTATTTATTAACCATTTAGTATAATAACATTAAAAGCTTGAAGTTTTCAAAAAGATCTAACGTTAAGTCCTAAAATAACATTATAAGTTATTTACAGATAGTATTAAGTACAATATAGTTTAGCCCTAAATAAACTAACGTAAAAAATTTACACGATACGATGTTAATTTGTCTCTTTATCGAACTTAGCCTTAAGATTAGTTAAGATTTTATAAAGTACGATCTTAATACAAGTGGACGTATACATTTCGGTGTCTACGATTACATTTAGTTTGTATTATTCTACAAATCTTGTATTTAAAGAAATATTGTTGCAATAAAGATACTATTTTGACAGCAAACGTTTTGCTAGTCTCTGCTAGTGGATATGTATTATACATGTAACTTTGTATCTGTACTGTTTGTTATTATAACTGTCAGATTTTCGAAACTGATACATTACAGAGTATTCTAATTAAGATGGAAAATTAAGATGTATTATTTCAGTGTTTTGTGTCTGAATTTTATCGTAGGTATCCTTATATTTGAAAACAATAGTTACAGATGATAATAATTAGTAAAATTAGTAGTTACAATGTAATATAACTGAGATTAGTTTTCCTTCATCTTCCTTACTGAGTGTTAATGTTTCAATGTGATGTTTGTAGGCAAGGTAGTGCAAGGATGTGGGATGGTCTTAATGTTTACATTTTGTCATTAACCAGGAATGGCGTAAGTAAGCTGTGTGTGTGTGTGGGGGGGGGGGGTAATTGTATGTTAATACTCCTCGTATGAGTTAAATTGATGACAAGAAGCAATGACTTAATTGAACGTTATACGTATAATAATATTTTCCCCACTTTTAAAGGAATCATCTAATTTCCTTGTGTCACCATTTACTACAACACAAGAAACTGTTTAACAAAGATACGCCACCTTTAATTGTTACTATTTCAAGAAATTGCGTGAAATTATGATAGTGCGATATAATAAGCAGCCCATAAAATATGCTAATTGTATGATAGTTACAACTAAAGTATAAAAATCGTGTTTTTAAATAGCTCTCGAGTCATGGAAGAGATTCAGTATGTGCATATCAGAATGTTTTCAGGAACTGGATTATTCACTGTTTTCTCTTCCGATTATCAACCAACATTCCCAGTTAACGTTTAGTTTCACATAGCCATTTAGATACACTGATGATGTGTTTTTGCATTTAACTGCTTATAAGCAAATAAGAGTTGAATATTAGAAGCACTTAATTTCTTTCTTACTACTAGTAGGATCAATGACGAGATATAAGTACAAGATGATAAACCCCTACAACCCCAGCGCTTTCGAAAGGTGGATGGACCTTTCTTCTTCAGGGGCTAACTAGGATATAGGTACATGTATATAGATATTATAAAAGATTATAGATATTATAACTGTTAAGTTGAACTTTACTTTTATTAGAAGAGTAAGCTTTTTTGTTAGTAGCTTAAATGAATGAAAACGCGTTACATTTTATATCAGATATAAAAAAACTAATGAAGCAAAATCAAAAAGCAAAAATTAATGATAAAATACCCGAACACAAAAGTTTTAATTTCCAGCAAAATTCAAGAACTTTAAAATTTATTAGTTTCAGAATCGAACATCTTGATAAAATATTGTTTGAACCAGTCTTCTTCGAGACCAACTTTTCTTATTAGAAAACACTTCTGTAAAAGTGTCATAATTGATGTGTGATTTGAAACATACGTAATCTATCAAAGATGTTTAGTCATGCCAATTTCGTGTGTAAAACGTGTAAAGAATTCTGTTCTAATAATTATATATGATGTAGCAGCTTACATATTATTTGAATTGACATTTTTATTACAATATAAGATTATTAACCTAACTTTGCAGAAGTGTCAACGGTATTAAAACGTTACCGTCATCCCCCCAGTGGCACAGCGGTATGTCTGTGGAATTACAACGTTAGAATCCAGGTTTCGATACTCGTGGTGGGCAGAGCACAGATTGCCCATTGCGTAGCTTTGTGCTTAGTTACAAACAAACAAACGTCACTGTCATTTTGTGTTATTGATTTCCTGATATAAAATTTTCGTTGATAAAATAAAGATTTATTATATTATATAAATTATAAAATAAAATAAAACTGATAGAAATACTATTTTATAATTTTCAAGGAAAACACGAGTTTTTACATTTTATAAAAGCTTCAACAATTGACATAAATACCTCATTTTAACGAAATAAATCATAAGCAGCCCTTCTTTTTAAGAAGGCCGAAACTATGAAAATAATGATTCTCATTGTTAGTCTTGTAAGCATCCTAGGTGTCGTTTTTTTTTCATATATATCCGAAATTTTGAGGTTATAGTAATTAATATTCGTGTTCAAAAGAACAGTTGAGAGTTGTTTTACAATTCAATCGCTTTGTTGGAACTTGGTAATTCTATTTAGAACCATGATGCAATAGGTGATGCAAGCAACAATATGTTGTAGCCTTAAGGCCACAAGTAACTTCAGAATATACATTTAGCAACTAATCTATCCAGTTTAAAAATAGTAACCATGCTAAACGAATTCAGCCAATCTGTAAACGGTAAACATACTAACCGAATCAAGCCACTCTATAAACATACTAGGCAAGTATAAGAGGAATAGACATATTAAGCTAATATAGATGTAATAAAATCACTAGGGGAAAACAACCAGTTTAAAAGTAGTAAATATATTAAAAGAACTTAGTCAGTAGCAAAGTGGTAAACATAATAAACGAATAGCCAGTCTTATAGTAGATAGAATAAACCTAGTCAGTAGCAAAGTGATAAGGAGCGTAAACGAACTTAACTTGGCCAGTCTCATAGTAGATAGAATAAACCTAGTCAGTAGCAAAGTAATAAAGAGTGTAAACGAACTTAACTTAGCCAGTCTCATAGTAGATAGAATAAACCTAGTCAGTAGCAAAGTAATAAAGAGTGTAAACGAACTTAACTTAGCCAGTCTCATAGTAGATAGAATAAACCTAGTCAGTAGCAAAGTGATAAAGAGTGTAAACACACTTAACTTAGCCAGTCTCATAGTAGTTAGAATAAACCTAGTCAGTAGCAAAGTAATAAAGAGTGTAAACGAACTTAACTTAGCCAGTCTCATAGTAGATAGAATAAACCTAGTCAGTAGCAAAGTGATAAGGAGCGTAAACGAATCTAACCAGTTTCAATAGGTAATCTTAACTTCAGAAAGCTGCATATAAATGATAAAAACTATAATAAAAGCACGAGTCTATAATAAAAAAATCTCAAGAGCCATAAAATACATGTACAAGAAATAACAACTTGACACATTTTATAACTTCTAACAAAATATATGTGAAAAAAAGCGACGATAATGTTTATTAATACAACTTGTTTCTCGTTATTCTACGTACTGTATATTGCATGTTCGTTTTGTTCTGTAACATTAGAGTGAATCTCTACAGCGACTGACAAGCAATTAGTAACACCGAAAGCCTGGTAGCGGGTTTGTAAAAACAGTAACTGACAAGCAACTAGTAACACCGAAAGCCTGGTAGCGGGTTTGTAAACACCGCGACTGACAAGTAACTAGTAACATGAAAGCCTGGTAGCGGGTTTGTAAACACAGCGACTGACAAGT